ATCTAAAGGTCTCACATATTATTCCACTGTTTTATTGGATTTGAGTAAATGTGTTTTATTTGAAAAATGTGTAAAAGGATTCCTGCTGCTCTTGATGTGACATCTCTAATCAGAGATAACGATGAAGAGTGCTTACCTGTTCATGGTCCAGCAAAGTGAGTCCTTTAACGCCAGCTAAGATTAGGTTCTTGGCCACTTCAGCCCCGAGACCACCCAAACCTGCCAGGAGCACTCGCGACCCTCGCAACCTGGAATACAGACAGAATTTAAAAACCGGTTTAAGTACTGCTTACTGTGTGGTTTCAGAAGTAATTGTGTGCTGATTGGAAGAAAATCATAATGAAATGTTCTGTAAACATTTTGACTACATTAAAGAGATTCTTAAAAAAAATATTCAGACAGAATAAAACGAGCAGCTGTTACAAATAACGCATATTGAGCCGTGTAAGCGTGAAACTAAAGTTTTATTTTGTGAGATTCAGCAGCCTTTTTGAAGCTTTAATATCACGTGAGCATTAACTGAAATATATCCTTAAACAGTTAATTCACATGTAATAATTCCAGTTTGAACAAGAAGTCTGTGCCGATATTATTTACATCATCTGTTTGAATGAAGCAATCACAGAAATTACCTATTCAGCTAATTATCAATATTTTCAAGTAAGATCACATAACACATTTATTATTCATTAGTAAATTATATAATTTAATTATGGCTTTTTGTAAAAGAAAGACATCTTTAACGATGTACTCTGCTGAAAATCGGTGCAGAGTAAGTACAGCAAGTCAAAGCTCCGGCTGCACCGATTAGCCTCCCGAGCTAACTGACCTCTTCTGGGCATCCAGTCCCCACAGTCGGATCTGGCGGTCGTACTGTGCCGCTTCCTCCTCACTAATAACCGGGTCCTCCTTCTCGATCATATCGATCACTTCAATTCGTTCCAATGAAGGTAAATCCGGGGTAAATGAATATTTTGTGCAGCTACAGATGGAGCTGTTTCAAATGCCGCGACGGTCCCGCTGAACAGGCGCTAGCTGATGACGTCGACAGAACAAAACAATAGATGACTTTTTTTTTTACGAAGTCCTTTTTTAACTAACTTTTTTTTTTGAGGATATGTATTTTTTCTTATTCGTAGTTTCACATGTTGTAAATAGAATGCTATATTTATATTAATGTCACTTAATAATAAGAATAATTAATGTCGCTTTAACTTTTAATGAGTTCAGTATTAGAAATATAGATATAGAAACATATACATGTACATATATCGCCGTGCTGCAATTTAGCGTATGCGTTGGTCACTGAGCCCTTAAATTTTAAACTTGAAAGCGTACGTAATTAAGTAAGTTTCAGCCTTGTCACGTAACTGTGCAGGAGATTGGGGCAGATTTTCCCCTGGGTATTGCCTTATAATCAGACTGCCCGCAGAGTGTCGAGAATTTAAGAACATATTGAACCTTTGTGTTATAATGACCCCAACAAGTACGAGGCCACGGGAGAAAATGAGATATAGAATGACCAATCTTTTATTCACTAACACGAAATATTATACGAACGATAATACAGCGACCTAAGAATAAAATACATTGAATGAAATTGACTTCAAGCCAACGTAAATAACAGGGAGAAATACATCGATCTAATACGAACATTAAAAAAAAATACGTTTTGAAATCGTTAATAATCGAATAAGATTACTTGGGGAGACGGTTTACCTGCAAGTCAAAACCCAGGCCTCATTTTACCCTGTAAATTTGCCATTCGTTGATTTCCGTGAGGAGCGTACGCTATTCGTCATGATGTCACTCTCGGGAAGGCCAGCCCCTTTTCTCCTTGGAGAAGACGGTCGGCCATTTTAGGTTCATCAGTCGTCATTTCACATCGCTACAGTAGGACGGAGAACGTCAGGACTCAATATTTCTCTTACAACTGTAGTGGAGAATTGCCTACTATGAACTGAAACTCTTCCTAAAATCAAAACAATTAGATCCTAGTGTGAAGTGACGCATAAGCCAGTAGTTTCCAGTGTCGAGTTGTAATTTTTTGCACCTCAATGTAGCTAGAGGAAATGGCTGTGGAAAGCATGACTGTCCATCCAAACTCCCCAACTACCAACCACGAACACAACAGTCTCCTGACTGACGAAAGGTCGAGTAATTCTACAGTCATATTTAAATGAAATTATTTATTTGTCCTGTGCTTTTACACAAAAAGCCCGGGGTTTCTTTTTCCTTTTTTTCTGTCAGAGGGATTAAATTCGCCTTTTCTGGAAAACGAGTACAGAGGTAACGCCATGTTGATACGACAACGCCAACTGGGAGGCCAAAAAAACTTCTGGGATAACGTTGTTCCCTGTGTTTTATTTACGTTTATCACAATCAACGAGCAATCGACTCGAGCCAGCCTGTCTCAAGGAAAAGAGATGAGGTTGAAACGGCAGATAAATCATACTTTAAGCGACCATACTTAACAATTCGACGATTGATCACGGCGCCTTGGTTAACTAATCACCCTCTCTTAAAAACTTAACTAATTAGTTCAATTAATCGTGTGTGTTTGGTATCAGTAGCGATCACAGCGGTAAAAGGAAAAAACAAACATTAAACTGGTTTGCTAACGGTGAGGCCTACTCTCAGGCTAGCAGCGTTAGCATGTTAGCTGGTGTTACCAACGAATGCTGTTGGCAACAACAGAGAAAGGCTAAGCTAAGGGCTAATACTTATGTTGACTGTGGTTTTTAAGGTCGTCGATATTTCTCATGGCTGCTGTTTTTTAAGTAGCCCAACTTTAAGTTATTTGATCACTATCGTCGATTATTATCGGTTCAAATGCATTTGTGCCGTTGGCGGAGCTTAGCACTTAATTGCACCCTTGGCGTTACGCACTTAAAATTGTCGTCGTCTCATTAATTGTAAATAACTCAAATAAGAAAAATCCTTTAGCTCCCCTTATGAACGCCCTTAAACATTTAAGTTTAATTGTCGTTAAATTTAGATTTTTTTCGTTTTACTGTAGTTATGGATGTATTTTAACTAACATGCCATTTTTATTCACAGTCGTGCCCACACTGACTCGTCCCCAACATCCCCCCGAAGTCCCCCCCACCTCCCCCAAAATGTGTAAAACGTCTGCAAAGCATCCCAAAAGTGTTTAAAGTCAAACACAAAAGTTCCCTTCTCCACTGTCCCCAGTTGGCAAAATTTGCTGTACCCGGTTGGTCCCCCACTTTCCAATCCCCACAAACTCCCACTTAGTGTCCCCGAAAGTTTAGCGAGAAGCTTTATTTTTTTTTGTTGTTTTGAGTGCAAAATGTGAAGAAAGCCCGTCACAGTAAGTATTCCCCATTTTAATCGTGGCCCTTTGTGCTTATAGAGTTAAGTTATGGAGTCGAATATTGAGCTAATAATGTGCCATAATGCATGGTAAACCATTTGATCCGGAATAATCATGTGCTCTGCTAAACTTAAGCTGTCTGGTAGGAGGTTTGTTTGGAGATTTTACACTTTGGATATAAATGGAAACTTTCTGGTGTAACTAACATGGCGAACTGATCATGCACAGGACTGGACTTTATTATGCTCAGCTTACAAATAACAGTTTTTCCTCTCCACAGCTCTGTACAGCTAAGCTTGCTTTGGTAGTATAGAGTATGCTTGAATGGGGTTTGCTGTTTTATGTTATTCCCTAAATTAGGAAGCAGCAGGTGATATGTGTGTGTGTATGGGGGTATTTCAGAATTGCAGGGGGGCCAACAGCTTGTGCCCATAGCGATTCCCAGCCACCCCCTATTCACAACAACCTGCCTCCACAATACAGCCAAATCCCTGTGCTATGAAAGGGAGCCCTCCTTTGTAACAGGTCTGTGCAATAATGCCAGTCATAAAGTAGGGGACTGAGTTTGTGGTGTTTGATTAAAAGCTGATAGCTTTTTTTAGGACAAATCATCTTATAGAGTCTGTTAAAGTGTTTTAGATAATATGTCAAAAATGGACTGGACTGGGTTAGTTGGTATCTGATACTGCGGGTCTTTCTACATATTTCCAGAGAGAATAAGTGTAGTTTAATTCTGGCTCATGGTCCCGAGTACCAAATATGAAGACAGATTTTGTAGTTTATTCTGGATTGTGTCTTGTGAGCAATTAGAGATAACTGAATTTTTTCTGGGAGTGAGTCCAGCTTTTATAAGCCCAATTTTTAATAAAAATGAGAGTTTACTAGGTCATCTATGGATATGTTTGCACTGTAAAACCTAAAAAATCAGTCAAATCTGGAACAGCTACTAATGAAAGATGACCTTTGTACTCCTTGAAGCAGTCCCTTGGCAGGCTACATCTTGGTAGCAGCCAGGATTTGTGGTGGAAGTTGGACTTTGCTGGAGACAGTTTTCATTCTTTAAGCTAACGTGTTTGTGGCATTCTCTGTTTTTAAATAATATATTTGCTGTTTTGAGGGGAGAAATTGGGCTCTGATGATTAAGGCTGATTAATTTGCTTCCCCTGAGAAAGCCGGTGGGCTGAGGATGTGGTGCAGACTACACGTACAGTGGAGTTGACATTTTGCCTCAAAAGCAGATCAACTGTCTTCCACCACCTGCTCCATCTTAGCTCCCTGTGGGCTCAGAGGAGGACAAAACCTGCCTTTGAGAGTCTGACACTGAATGGCAGTAGTCTTCTCAGTGAATCAGTTAACTCCTGTTCACATCATCCAGAGCTCAGACCTCTCCCTGACTGCTGGACACAGTGCTTGTAAGCCTACTTTGGGTGTTGGCCTTTGCAGGAGAGACACAAGCGTCTTACTCAAATAGGGAGGTACTAATATTTTTTCTTTTCTTTGCTACTAACATTTTTGTGTCAACATTTTATGACGTGTGTCTTGCACAGTTTTGACGTAACAGAGTGCCACAGGGCTTTTCTTTTCCTTTTGTGGACCGGCCCAGAAGTTGGCATCGATCTGGCTCCCTCAGCTAAAAGCCAGTAGGATGTTTCCACGGGCTTCTAGATTGTGGCAGGAAATGTGCTCTGTGGGAAATAAAAGTTTATGATAAATACATATTTTGTTCGGCAATTTAATCTGAGATTAAGACTCATTACTGCAGCACTCTGTTGCAAGTTCTTGTTGTTGTTTTGAGAGATGGCCAAACATAAACAAGTTAAAGTTCAACCTTCTCTGAGGTCGTCCTCAGTTACAGCAGACATCAAACAGCAGGAACTGTCTTTGTTTATTTATTTTTATACACCAGATGGTTGTCCTTCACATTAGAAGTTAAAATACATTCAAAAGAAAGAAAAAGGCCTTATAGGGTATTTTTTTTTACCTCTGGATCCTTTTACTCTGGCAGTGTTCCAGCTGTGGTGGCTAAAATCTGTCTGCATACAGAAAAAAACACAAACACTTGGCATATTGCGCAGACTTCCTTTGTGGTTACTTTTGCTGCTGTAGGAGTGATGACTGCATTTTATCTGTGTATGATAACACACGCACAGAGGCTCACGAGGTGAAAACACACCAGTATTGCTGTCGTGAGTGTTAATAATAGGAGCACAGTATTACATATACACATGACCTAATTTGAAGTCTGAAATTGTTCGTGCTCGTCACGTTATGAGATTAAATCCAAAGGAAAGGTGTTGCTGCTGTTTCTGGAAGCTGTGTAGACGATGTAGAAAGTTCGCCTTGAAATCACAGTATTTCAGTTCACCATTCAGCGCGTTTTTATCTCCTTCTGTTTGGATGACCTAGATAATATGTCAATAAGCAGCTGTGCAGTCTGACCTCGCTGCAGGAGCGTTTGAGTTTGTTTTTTTAATCTTGAGCGCGATTATATATCCCTCCCAGTGTATGCATAAAGTGTTGTGTGTGACATTTTAGTGTTGCCTTCACCTGGCTTATACGATTGAAAGGTCACCCTGGGCTGTTTCTTATGGCAGTCCCAGGTACTTATTATGTGCAGTCTTTACAGGAATGCATGTGTATACAAATACAAAATCATGAACTTTAACATCAACCTGCCGTAGATTTCAAATTCTGCAGCTAAATTTACATTTATCCATCTAACGGTGTGACAGACGGTCCATCAGAATACACCGTATAACCTTCAGCATCAGAAATTTTCCTGGCAGAAAGTGGTACATGCTACAGATTAATAGTCTCTTTTAGAATTATATACGACCATCAGCTCGTGTTTCATATCGCAGTCACATGGCAGCAGTGTAAGCAGAGACCCCCAGACCCCCCCCGCCAGATCCTCCAGCTCTCCAAGGGGACACGGAGGGGTTCCTGAGCCAGTTGAGAGACATGATCTCTCCAGGAATTATATACGACCATCAGCTCGTGTTTCATATCGCAGTCACATGGCAGCAGTGTAAGCAGAGACCCCCAGACCCCCCCAGCCAGATCCTCCAGCTCTCCAAGGGGACACGGAGGGGTTCCTGAGCCAGTTGAGAGACATGATCTCTCCAGGACGTTCTGTATCTATCCCAGGGTCTCCTCTCAGCGGCATACCCAGGATACAAAAATACAACACACAGTAAACAAGGATCTAGATTAATTTGACCGATAATTTTCTGAAAAGTCTGAAATCGCAACGGCTCAAACGTGAAAAAATAGCACCATCTATGCTATTAGCAGCAGATTATGATCGATGACTCGTTCTTGAATTGTGCACGTATTCCTGTATCTTCAATTTTCAAATTCGCCGAGCCTCTGTACTCGTTTTCGCCGATTTCCCCCCAGCTGCGTGTATAAAGTCGTTCTTGCTTCCTCCTCTTTGTTTGTATAATTTTATTGTGCATTTATCTTTGTAAAATTTTGTGACCATAATATTAAAGATGGCTTTCTTTTCATATACAGGGCAGAAGATGGAGAGCTGGAGGAGGGTGAGTTGGAAGATGATGGGGGAGAAATGGAGGAGGAAGAAATGGCAGGTGGTGTGTCAGCAGTCGGTCCAGGTGGAGACGGCGAAGAAGTGGGTGGAGGTGAAGGAGGCCAGGAAGGGTCGGCGGAGAGGCCTCGGCGAAGTAGGGAGCGCCACGCTAGCAGCGATTCAGACGACGAGAGAGCCCACCGTCGTAAGAGGAAGCGGAAGAAGGAGCGGGAAAGAGAAAAGAGGAGGTCCAAGAAGAAACGCAAATCACGACATAAAGTAAGAATTGTGGTAAACGCAGAGATAAAAAACACCCTTGTTTTCTGGCTTAACCCTTTAAAACCGGTCGGAGCGGGCACGCTCTGTTTTGCGTAACTATTTT